CTCCGCCTCCGCGCGGGGGAGGCGGCGGTGGGGCGGGAGGGGAGTGCCATCCCCGCGGCGGCCGCGGCCGCCCGTTCCCCGCGGCGGAGCAGGAGGATGCGGCCCGGCGCCGGGCTCTGAGCGATGGAGGGGGTCCTGTACAAGTGGACCAACTATCTAGCGGGTAGGCGGGCTAGGTAGGGGAGCGGGCCAGGGGGCCGGCGGTTGGGGCTCGGCTCGGCTCGGAATGGTCCGCGAKGCACCCCTGCTGCTGCCTCGGGGGATCCCGGCGTCCCGTGGGTGGCCGGAGCTATCGGTAACGCGCTGGCTGAGGCATCRCCCGCCGTTTGTGCTCGGAGCCAAGCCCCGGCGAGCGGCCCAGCGTCGCGCCGCGGGCGACGGAGGCAGTCCTGGGGCGGCCGGCGCGGCGATCGCCTGGAGCCGGCTCGGAGGCCTGGCCGAGGCCCCAGCGCTTCCCCCGGTGGCCGGGCCGGGCCGGAGCCCTGCGCGCACCGGCTGCCCCCGCAGCTGCACGGCCGAGCTGTGCCCGCGTCCGCCCTTCTGCCGGGCCCCTCCCGCCACCTGGATTGTGCCTTCCCCAGTTAGTCAGAGACTCAGCGGGACGGGGAGCTCTTGTATCCCAACCAGGAAAACACATGATGAACTTAGTTTAACTGAGTGCATTTTAGAAGCTAAGCAGACAAAAAGTGCACCAAATGCCAGTAATTGCCTGTTTTTGTTTGGCCGATCCTCTCTGTGATAGAGACAYCATCTCTCTCAGGTGTGGGCAGTGGGCAGGCGGTGCTGTCAAGGTGAAACATTTCTCCTRTGACACTGTGATAGGCCTAATTGTCTCTCCGAAGCAGATCAGCGTTGGATCAAATACTGTGCTTAATCGTGCCTTACATTACGCTGCTTTGGCACTATGTTCTTTGCCCTCTGGTTCTTCAGCACCTCAGGTGTTCAGTTCTGCTTCAGCATACATAGCTTTTGAGCATGGAGTGGAGTGAARGTTGGTTCTGAGGGATTATAAAATGTGGACCGCATTGCAAGAGTTGCGCAGATGCGCTGTGAAATGAAGTGCACAGAGCATAATGCAGTTTTMAGAGCAATTATGTGTCCACAGATATGGACCTTCTGGTAAAAGGGAGCAGTTGTGCTATAATTAAAATAGATATTTGAAATCTTCGTCACTTCTTCACAGAAGCCATAGGGAAAACAAAGAAAAGTGGTTATAAGAGAAAGAATGAGTACAAGGTTGTTTTCAAAACAGAATGAAAACTRTCACTTCCACTTACATGACTGAAAATGCTGCTGTAGCAAAAAATTAATGGATACAGGCAATGAACTCTTGTGGTGTTTGCTCCCCTTTTAAGTCTGTTATTTAATAAGCAAATACTCAACAGTAGCTGTGAGTGCTGTACACACAATAGACTGTTCTGTCAGCATTCAGCTAACTTCTGTGGAAAGCCAGTAGCCCTCTAAACCAGCAAACTTCAGAGCACTTCCTTAGGCTCGTGCTGGCCAAGAGCGAGCATTGCTCTTGCATTTCAAAATTAGTGTGTCAGAATTTCCAGAATGTAGGAAGGCAGCATTTTTTTGGTAATTGATCACATTAGTGAAATGTTTATATTTGATTACCACCTGCTTTATTACTCTGCTATCTGTATAGTGTCTGTTTTTGTGGCTGAAAATAGGTTGTAGTACTTGTTACTAGTGGTAGACACCAAGCAGCAAAGGAGCTTGTTACTGTTGCTGAAGCATTGTGGAAAAAACATTCAGTTTCTTCCTTCATTTGAAACAAACCAGAAATACAACTGCTTTTTTTGTTCTCAGATAATAATTTGTGAAGTACAAATTTTCTCAAATACAGGACACTTSCCAGTTTCAGATTACAAGAGGTATTTTTGTTCTTTGACTTGCTTCTGTGAGGCACTTGGTCTTTTAAGTCTTTTTCTTCTGTTTTTTACTCAATACTAGTGTAGTGTGAAGATGGAATAGTCATTTATCCTTTTTATCAGAATAAGACTGCTTTGACAGTCATTGACTTAATAGATAAGGACAGCACAGAGTCCACATCTTGCAACAGAATGTAACAGAAAAAAAAGATTGATGCATTTTTGAGTTACATTTTAGAGGACAGAGTCTTCTGAATTGCAAATTCTTTGAGTATTAGCATTGCTGTATACATACCATTTGAAATATTTCCTTGTGTGAATTCTTATCCTTCAGTGTTTGTACYTTTTATCATTCTGCTTTTAAATTTGAGTGTGGGATCTGCTTTTTAGTTACCACTCTATGTTTAAAAACACATGTATGCTTAGTGTTCTAGCTAGTAACAAAAAAGAAACAGCAGGCACTTACATGTTATTATTTCTTTRTCATGGAGTGGTAACATGATTTAATGCAGCCTGGTCTTGCTCTTCTTGAATTCGTGTTAGAACTAGTAATGACACTGGTGCTGGAGAGTGTCCACAGAAGGGCTGTGGAGCTGGTGGAGGATCTAGAGACTGAGTCAAAGCAGGATCAGCTGTGTGAGCTGAGGSRGCTCAGCCWGGAGGAGAGGAGGCTCAGGGAAGACCTTACCACTCTGCAACTCCCTGACAGGAGATTGGAGCCAGGTCAGGCTCAGCCTCTTCTCCCGGATAATGAGTGACAGAATGAGTGGAAATTGCTTCAGGCTGCTCCATGGGAAGGTTGGACATCAGGAGGAAATTTTTCATGGAAGGGGTTGCATTGGAACAGGCTGCTCCATGGGAAGGTTGGACATCAGGAGGAAATTTTTCATGGAAAGGGTTGCATTGGAGCAGGCTGCTCAGGGAGGTGGTGGAATCGCCATTGTTGGAGGTGTCCAAGAAAGAACTGGATGTGCCCCTTAGTGCTGTGGTCTAGTTGACAAGATGGTGATTAAACGTGGTGGTTAAAGGCTGGACTCGATGATCTTGGAGATCTTTTCCAACCTTAAATGATTCTGTGATGCTATGCATGTGAATAGTATGAAGCCTTTAGCTGATTTCAGAGTTTGGTTCCTGATTTAGCCTCCTTTGTAAAGTACTCGGCTGCTGGATGGCTTCAGCTTGCTCTGTTGGGATGGCAACTGGAAGGCACCCTTGGCCACACTGTCATCTCAACAAATACATAGAGGGCTTGACCACACAGGTTTTGCAATTCCAAACCCTAAGACAAGCAGGAAGTTAGTTCAGTGTCAAGTTGTTAAATAGAAGGATAATCTGCACCTATTGTACAGCTGATCCAGACTAATGAGCCAGTGAATTGTTATGCTCTACTGAAATATTTTAGTGCCGTGTTCTTTGTAGAAACAGAGAAAGTGTCCATACTTAAGTGCGAAATACAAAGTTTTAACTGAAATACAGTAGATAAAGGAGAACATAGCGTAACAGTGGGTGGGATCAGTCATTTATTTGTATCTTACAAATAAGATCCTACAGTCTTAGAAAAATCTACTGAAAAATATACTTGAATGAGAATGGTTTTTCAGAGGTATGTAATTTAACTACCTTCAAAACAAGATTCCCTAATGATTAAATTAAAATTTATTTTCTSTCTAGAATGGAATACAGTGAAAACAGAAGTAATGCTGATCTTGCACACAGAAAGAATGGGAGTGAAATATCCTATAACACTAGWCTGGTTATAAAGTGGCTCTGATCTTCACTGCATAGATTGTTTACTAGTGGGTGTATTACAAGAATAATTTAATGTTTGCCTCCTTTATTAAAGTTTTAACAGCCAAAGAGATGAAAATTATTTATGATTTAGGAATTAGACTAAACTTTGTTTTTCATGGTTTTGATCTSTCTAGGTTGGCAGCCTCGATGGTTTGTTTTAGACAATGGGATATTGTCATACTATGATTCCCAGGATGATGTATGCAAAGGCAGCAAAGGAAGTATAAAGATGGCTGTGTGTGAAATAAAAGGTAAGAATTAATGGATTTCTGCTTGAGGAAATTTTGGATGCCATGGAAATAGAAAAGATCATCCACAGATTTTTGCATCACTAATTTTTCCTCCTCTGTTTTTGTTTATCTGTAGTCCAGTGTGTCTGCTTCATAGTTCACAAGTAATGAATGTGAATAGAGCTCTGCTTTAAAATTTGGAACACACCACATTTTACTTTCTGTTTTTAATAGTTAGGTATATGGGGTTCATGCTTGAAGTTACGTCCCCTAATTGTTAAGTTCTACTGCTTTTCTCTCTTATGACCAGGGATAGAAACTGAATGATGAAAGTCAGTTTTCCAGAAGAGCAGCAGCAGTGATCCAGAAGTAGAGATTCTTATGAACCAGAAATGTTTAGTCTTTTGGTTTGCTGAGTAATTTTTACTTTTGTTAGCAACTGCCCACATGTACATGTGATGGGGTGTATTTGAGATAGTAAATAAACTTCTGTTTCAAACTAAGAGTTTTTACTCTTTACTGTATTCTAAACTGTATGTTTAGAATTAGTCAACCTCCTTGACTAATAGCAAGGTTGTTTTCTAGCTCCCTGTTGCTGCTAACTCTGACTTCTTTCCAGATGCCCACAGGTGACTGAGCTTGTGATGTGGGTATTTCCATATTAAAACATAGAACTTATTTTACATGGACCATCAACTATTTTTGATATAAAGTGGGGAGGATCACTTTTTTTCGTTTCATTCCAGTTCATTTTGCCTGTTATCTTGTTCTTGCGGTGGAGGGATTAGAGAGAAAAGTTGAGCAGCTTTGGGCTTTTACCTACTTAGCAGTGGTGCATTGGGATTTGCTTTATTACTGTGGGAGTATCGTAAGCATTTTAAAACATTTTGATCTGTGCTTAATAAATGATCGTTACTGAGTTGAGGTTATTATTGTTTCTTTTTTTTTTTCTCTTCTATCACAAGTTCATGCAACAGACAACACGAGAATGGAGCTTATCATCCCAGGGGAGCAGCATTTCTATATGAAAGCAGTTAATGCAGCTGAAAGGCAAAGATGGCTGGTAGCACTGGGGAGTGCAAAAGCCTGTTTAGCAGATACCAGAACAAAAAAAGAAAAAGGTATGTGTGTTACCTAGAGTATGTAACTTTTCCAGATAATCATAGTGGAAATACTGTGCTACAAAATCAGTATTGTTGTCCTTTAATATAAATAGTAATTATTTCTAGACATCTCCATGGTACATTCCTCCTCAGTGTTAGAGTTAGAAGTCATCTCCATTGACCCCTTGTCTCTTAAGAAGCTGAAATACCACCAACGTATTGTTGCCACAAGAACAAACATACTGTTGGCAGCTGTTGTGAAGCCATTTAATTTCTGCCATTTTACTAACTCTTTATAGTAACTTTTTTTTTCCATAATTTTTCTTAGATGGCTCAATGTAACCATTTCCAGCCACTCTGGTGGGCATAAATTTTATCCAAAAAWTTTTTTGTGCATTACATTGCAGCTAAGAAAGATTTTAACTTTWTATTTCCTGGTAATATGCCTTTTCCATAATAGTAGTTAAATTAGCATCAGTTATCCMAAAGTATTTTCTGCTTATTTAAGTATAATTACTGATTCAGTGCAGAATCCAGTTTTGCTCAAAATTAAGTGGAAGTTTAAGTGGATTTTAAAATTGATGTTTAAATGAAAAGTGCTTAAAAATTACAATGTATATGTACATTGTATGCAGTAAATTTATATTTCCGTGTTTTTTCATAGAAATAAGTGAGACCAATGAATCTCTTAAAACCAAAATGTCTGAACTTCGTCTCTACTGTGATCTTTTAATGCAGCAAGTTCATACAATACAAGAATTTGTTCACCATGATGAGACTCGCTCTCCTCCCAACATTGAGGTGCAGAATTCTAGAATTTCTTTTCATTTCATTATATAATACACCTCAAGTCACTGTTGATGTCTTAAACCTTTTTCATCTCCCCAGTGTTGGGAGACATAACCTAATGTTGATTTTTGGATGCTTTTGTGTATATGTGCTAATAGTGTTTTTCTGTGTGTAAAGTACCTGGACGGTTGAACTGTAGTTGTGCCAGGTGTTAGGAAGCAATTGTGTTTCTGAGCTATTTGATTGAAAGGCCAGAAAGCTGTCATATGAGCAGTATGATATTTTGTCTTGTTTTGCATCTCAATTCAAGTAGCTGAAACAATCTTATTTGTCCTTCTTACTTCTTGTGTAGGAGGTATTCCATCTTTTTATCAATGAAAGTTAGTGTTCCAGGCATTGGAAACATGCAGTRTAGATATCCATCTCAGAATGTGCACAAATACAATACTAGAATGTATTTCTGGTTTTGAATGAAAGTACTGAAAATTATGAATGACTTCATTCTTTGCACTGTTGAGCAGCATGTGAACAGTGTTATTGGCTGTTTAGTGCAAAGCTAGAGGTTGATGCTTAATGACAACAAAGCAAATTTTCACTTTAGGCCATCTGCAGCTCCTTGCTCTAGAGTGAGAAAAGTATTCACACCTTCTGCTGCAATTCATTTGTTTCACTGAATGATCTTCTGATACCTGTTAGTCTAAAGCAAGCTTTACAGTAAGGCATTGTTGATTGGTACCCTAAGTAAACTCAGGTGTCAGAAAAATTACTATGCTGTCGCATTTTTTTTCTTAAATTGGCCTCATGATAAGGTGTACATTTAATTAAACAAAATGGCAAATGTAAGTTCTTAGTGGTAATGAGGGAAATTAGTYTGTCTGGGAGAGGTGGTGGGGGAGAGTTGTATTTGCATATTTTCATTTTTTTTCTCACTTACGCTTGTGTTTTCATTTATTTTCAGAATATGAATGAAGCCTCTTCCTTGCTTAGTGCCACATGTAATACATTTATCACAACACTTGAAGAATGTGTGAAGATTGCTAATGCCAAGTTCAAGCCAGAAATGTTCCAGCTGCCTCACCCTGATCCCTTGGTTTCTCCTGTGTCACCATCACCTATTCAAATGGTTTATAGACATTTTGAAATAYTATCTTTTCTAAGTGTCATATTGGTGGTTGGTTCGGTGGGAGGGGTAGCAGAATGCTATGCTATTTCTATGTGCTATGATACCCATAGTTGAAATCTTKCCTGTGTTATAAATCAGTACTGGTCCCAAGTATAAATCTTTTAATATTGATGGCAATCCATCTGTTTTCATATAGTTAAATCAGGCTTATAACTAAGAGTGGTTGCTTTTTATAAAAAAAATTGCCATCTCTCTTGGCAAATTACTGTAAATAAAGTAAAAAATAATCTAGATATGTAAGTCCTTCTTCTAAGTAGCTTGTGACATTTTTGGTCTTGTTTGCTCTTTGAATTTTTTTTTCAACCCTAGATGAAGCGTTCCATTAGCCACCCTGGTCCTTGCTATTCAGAAAGGTAATTTTCTATTTCATTTAGCTTTTTCCTTGTGTCTCACAAGACCTCCTTGAACTTGCTTGCATTATGATCAAAATGTAATAAGAATTGTTTGCTAGCAGAAAAAAAAAAATTCATAATCTAATTTTGAAAACAAAGGGTACAGATTATCAGGTGTTGGTAGCAGCTGCTGTTTTTAATACACTACCAAAATTTCATCATTCTAGAAGCTTTATGCAAATGGCTTGTTTTGACAAGTTCATGAAATCAGACATAGAACTTGAAACAATTACATTCTTTTTCAGTCAGTATTTARGATTCTCAAATTATTTTCTTTGCTTTTATTTCCATTTTCAGGCTTTGCAGCTGTGAAATTAAGATTGTTGACTGTGCCAYTTTTAGTCTAGTGAACTAAAAAGCATTGGTACAATTTAATCTAAGCACCAAAGTTACTTCAAATTTAAAGTATRTAAAATCTGTGTGGGTTGTTGCAGATTTTGCTTTCTAATAGATCTCATTTCCTTTGTAGGATTAATCACTCTGCAAAAGAGCCAGGTTCGTCTCTCCACCGACTTTCTCAGCAGCGCAGAAGAACATACTCGGACACAGAATTTTAYAGTGATACAGTTTCTGAAGATTCTCAGAGTAAGTTTGAAAGGGAGGGAGTTTTCTCTGTATCTTTCTATACAATTTATTTACAGAAGCAGCTGTTCTAGCACTGATATCAGCATGAGGAAAAAAGTTTTATTTATAAGATTTCTATATAACAGGTTTATACATATGTTATAAATCAGAGCACTTGWATAGTTTGTTACCTGTTGACTTGTGCTGGCTTCCATCCATATTACAAAGGATCCTGCAGCGGAGTAGTTACATTGAAATCAGTGAGACTACTGGCAAGATAAAATTAAGACATATCCAGAAAAGGAATATTTGTCCTAATACACCCTTACAYGAATGATGTTCTGGTGAGTGATGTGGAATACTGCTGCTTGCCACCTGCTTATTGTCACAGAAGAAATTCTCTTTTTTTGACCTCTGAGTATCAGGGTAGTTTTCACCCAGCGCATTGAGAAAGATGGTTCATTTCAGTGGCTCTGTGCCTTTTGTAGAGAACAGCAGTGCTCTGAAGGCACACAGCCTTGCCAGTAATTAAGATCATAATCAGACTCAGTCCCTCCTGATTAGATGGGCTGACTGAGTTAGTAGCCAGTTCTTCTGTGGTATTTCCTTCTGAATCTTGCTGGCATTTTGACTCCATTATAACTTCTCATGTAAGCTTTAACTTAACTAGTTCTTCTGATTGTTTATATATAGGAAATACTTGGCAAATACAATAACTGAGAGATTGGGTGATATTTTGGGGGGTTGAAAATTCAATATTTACTGATCTCTTCATAGGATCTGCTCATTGTTCTAGAAGTGCTGTCAATGGAGATCTGGTATCATCAACCATTCCTGAAGAAAGTAAATCAGTGTCAAAGGAAAGATATGAACTGGAAGAGACTCTTTCATCCTTTTCCTCCTGAAGCAACTGAAAGTATTACATTTTCTATAAATAATGCTATGCAAAAGCTGTTGTAATTATAATGTTGTTATAGGAAGTAGTTATTTCCCTTTTTAGAAGGATTTCTCTGCACTTTATAGAGTAACACAAATACTATCTTTGAAGTGTATTTTATCTTTGTATAGTTTATTTGCAAGAGTATTTTCCTAATATTTCACAGTTTGAATGTGCATTTTTTTGAACAAATGATGGCTTTAATAGATAAGCATCCACATTTGTAAATGCAGCTCTTTATAAAAAGTGTGGAGGTATGACTGATATGTTAGTAAACATGCACTATAAACGTCAGCAAAAATTTTTTTTTTTTTTGAGAAAATGCAACTTGTGCCATGGGCCTCTTGGTCATTTGTACCAGGTCATCCACCTGGAGCTGTGATTAGCCCCACAATGGCTTTTTTTTGCCAGTGTAAGGGCTGTGGGAATGGGCACTAATGGCTCTGCTCCAGCAGCCTGACGGTAATTGACATTGCCACCTTTCAAAACACAAGGATATACATAATCCAGTCCTTATTTTAGGCAATGAAAGTAGAAATATTTAGTGTATTTTTCTAAACAAATGTGTAAAAATAACTTAATATGAAGTATTTGTACCAAACATGGGATATTTAATAGTTTTTATTTATTTATTMTTTTTTGCATCAAGAATTTTTACCTACTTTCACTACTAAAGGTCTAAAGATCTACTAAAGGCTTCAAAATGTGCTTAAATTGTTTCTGGGGTGTGTAGCATCACAAATAATTAATACAGCKCTGTTCAGATTTACTCTGCTTACTTAAGATGTGTTTTTTGGCAAGCTTGATAGAAGCAAGAGCTGAAATGTTGGACTGCTCTAAGCTGCTGTTGTGATGAATATTTGTATCTATACATGGTTTATTTATGACATATTTATACAAAAGGGAGCTWCTGTTTCTGCAACTCATTTATATCATTTGAGGATGGTATACACCAGAAGATGGCTTCTGCTCTCRGTTACATCGGTGTAAATTTGCATTAACTGTGAGGTCAGAGTCTGACTCTCTTAATGATTAATGAGTAATATAGTATAATAGTGCCTACTAGCACCTTGGTCCAGAAGGTTGTTACTGTTAGCATTGTAAGCTTTTRGGGATTTTGGGGGTGTTTGTTTAGGGATGAACTTGGTCTATAAAGTCTTAGGTGTAGAGCACTTTAAGCAAGCCATTTACTGTTCTTGATTTACACAATTGCTAAATATATGTACAGGGTTTTTTGTACTCAAGCACATACCAAAATCTGGTTTTATAATCAGAACTTTAATTTGGTTTAACTAGTCTTCCTTTTGTGTATATAAATAATTTGAAGCAGGCTGGAAAGAACAGATGGGAATGGGAGCTTTCCTTATAAATTTTTGGAATGTTGTTTTATCTAAGTCAAAACAGGTCCAAATGTTGAGGAAAAACATATGAGCTGTTGGCCATATATGAAATGCCAGTTGATAAACCATTATGTCAGGTTCAAGTGGAATGGAATGRTTTGTAAAAGGTTTTTGTGGATTCCAGCTCAGAGCTGTCATTTGTGCTCTTGTCAGTTGTCAGTTTTCATACAAACTGGCATATGCATATCAGCCACACATATGCTTGTACATTTTTTTCTGAATGTTTGCTTTAATGTATTCTGTATGACACRAAAATTGTAAAAATAAGTATTAAAAAAGATGTTCAGAAAAGTAAGCCACATACTGCAGTGGGAGTGTTGTCTTGAATCATATGCTRTCAGAGTTGCTTTTTGAAATTTCACTGAGGTTTCTGCCACCTTCTGTAGTGTGAAGTACACATCACAGTGATACCTTTTTCTGCTTTCAACAACTATGAAGAAAGGAGATTGGACTCGACATTGTGCAAAAAAAAGTAAGACTGTTCAGTGCATGTAGTAGTAATAATTTTAAGTACTACCACAAGACAGTTGTGATCAGTTACATGCAAATTTTGTGCTTGGAATTACTGCAGCACTGTTGTGGGTTTTTTCTTTCTCCAAAGCCATCATTTCAGCTTTGTGTATATATGTGATARTTTTCTGTTAAATCAGCCCTTTTATAGGTATCTCTGCCAAACATCCTAAAATGTAATTCAGTGAAATCAATGAAGATGATATGCTGTCATACTTTTGGTAACTGGGGCTAAAGAATCACTTCTGAAAATTATCTGGCTGAATCACAATGATCCATGCATAGTAAGACTAAAAAATACCTGTATGTGCTTACATGTTTCATTTCCARGTGTAGGGGAGGGCTTATAAGGAATGCCAGATTGTATCATTCTTTCTAGTGCAGAATGAGAGAGAGCTGAACCTCAGAATAGGTAGTTGGTACTTACAGTTTTGATCTCACATGCTTCTGAAGAGCTCAATGTGAAACCAATTAAAAATGTTAATAGTATTCATCATTTAATATAAGCATGGGACGTATATTTAGGTGAAAAGTGCTAATTTCAGTTATATCTCTGAAGTTTCTAGCATCAGATAATTAGAATGCTTAGAAATTAAYGGCTTTCATTACAAAGAATTAATGGTAAGGCACACAATGATTTGGAGAGTTGTGAATAGTGAGATTACAATGTTCAGGGGCTTTAAAGGACTCTAAATTAATGTTTGTATGTCTTTCAACTTAGTAATTCAACTTCACCTTTTAATCTTTTTTTCCCTCAGAGAAAGAAAGCTCTGGGATAGCAGTACTTCAGAGCTTGCTTCTGCAAAAAAAATTGTATTCCTTACTTAAAAATTGATATCACAGCTATTTGTTTTTGTTAAGGTTATTTTCACAAACTATAAACTTGAGTTTTGCTYCACTCCTAAGTATTCTAAATATTAAGTATTCTAGTGTAGCTGTTTTTGGTGTAAACCAGAAACTTTTAAAAGGAGTGTAATACCTGAATAAGTGAAATGTCCGCATCTGAAAATCAGCTAAAATGCAATAAAATGAATCTTTCAGTATTTTTATGGCTGTCCACTATCACAGTTACTTTTTGTAGGCTGTCACATGTAACATGCTAGTAGAAAATGGATAGCTCTATAGCAGGATTTATACAGCAGCTCAGTGAGTTTTGTTAAAAAGTTTTTTCCTTAAAGGTCAGTGCTCAGGAATCATGAATGCCAAATGCCTTCATTCATATCAGTGGTAAGATATTTTTTCCAAACTTGGTCCTATAGCACAATAGATTTGATCTTTAAATAAAACAAATGTCAGCTTGTACTGTTAGAAATCACCATATTGGACCTGGATATAATAAGGATTTTGAAATGGTTTTTGGTTTCCTTTTCATCCAGAGACTGCTTAATCTGTTGTCTTGAAAAATGTTTTCTTAGGAATGTATTCTGTGAAATGGAATATTGAAGCTTTAGCTTGTGACTTCAGCAATGTCATTCTAGGTTAGCATTTGCTTAGTGGTCTTGTGAAAAACACTGGCTCAGCTGGTTGGCCTGTAACATGATCTATTCAAGCTGTRTTTTAGCAAAGCCCTAAGTATTTTAAATCCTATTTTTAGACATGTGAGTCACTCATCTGCCTAAAGTACTTGCTTAAGAGCTGTGCAGACTTGGACCAGAGAGGTTSTGGCAGGATGAACTTGCTTACACTGCTGCAGCAGTGTGCTTTTCCTTCTCTGTTTTGAGACAGAGTAGAAGCCATGTAAGATGGAGTTTCCAATAGCCTTTGTGAAGAAGAGGCCGTGGTTGAATCTACAGATGCTACCACTATTTCTGCTGAGATGACTAATTATATAGTGTGTTTTTAGTGTTAATTACGTGYCTGTGTACACAAGTTGCTTGTTAGCTAAACAAGACGGTACCTGTGCATTTTTGTGTCTTGTACTGAGGTTGTTGGTCGAGGCTTTTTTCAACATCTAAAGAAATTAGTATTAGAAACTTTTGTCAGGATTTTTTTTCTCTTTGAATGGTTTAAAGATTAAACAGCCTTTCAAATTTCATTTTTATTCTTTTTTTACCTTCTCTTTGAGGAAGTAATACCATGCACTCTTAAACTCTTTCATATTTATGATTGTTTCTAAATCTTACTGGTTCCAGGAAGAAACTTGAATCCTTCCTTTCCAAGAATCACATGAAAAACTTTAGATTTTGTTCTTACCCAGAACTTAGCTCTTCTGAAATCCTTTTTTACTTTAGTCCTTGTTTTGTCCCTATTTCTTAGCTTTCCTGCATCATTTGGATAGACAGTGGTTGAAAATATGTAAGGTTATAGGAAATTATAAAAAAGCTTCTACAGTGAGTCTTTCTGGAATAGATTTTAAAACATTCTAACTGCTTTACTACTTCTGATGAACTTGAGTATTTTTCTTAGTAGTAGTGGTGTGCTGAGAGTCACAGTGATGCACAGTGTTTGCTAACTAATGCTCTTGCTTCACTTGAGAGAATTTTACAGCTCATGAAGTGTTGTATTTCTGTGACTGTGTTTGCTCTCAAGCTTTTTCCACAGAGTGAATTCTAAAAGCAGACTTGCAACTTGCTTGGACCTTGATACTCYTTTTCCCATAGATAATATATCCCTCACCCCAACCCCAAAATGTAAAAACAGGCTTTGCTGTGACAGATATGTCAGCTGACTTGTGGGATGAATTAATCACCCATGGGAGGTGATAACTTGTAGGTCAAGGCAATAAGGATCAATTACTACAGCTGCCAAAAAACAAATGGTGTAGAGGAAAGCCTGGAAGTAACAGAGGGATAAGAACAGCGAAATGCTTAGGCATGTGCTAGAATTTATCCTTTGTCAATGAAGAATCTATGATGAAAAAAATTTTAAGTGACTTTTTTCAAGGGTGGCTGGTGGGCAGGCAGTTTCTGATAGATGGCTGGATTGTCATCAGTTTACTACCTGGTTTATATGGGAGAATTCAATTTCTACCTCATCTTGGTTTCAGCAACTCTTTTTCTGTAGTGTAGTACAGGAACTGTAAAACCAGTGTAATAAATAAAGGAGGAGTCACAGACTTTATGGTGCAGAAAGCATGCTTTATTTCAAATGAACAATTCTATCTCAAGGAGGTTCAACAGCTACCAAGCCCTATTACTACATTAGGAGAACTAAAGCAAATTCAAGTGCAGGCTGGTATTTGATATTTTAGCAACAGTTTGTTTTCAAACTGTGGTTCATTACTTAGTTGCCCGGAACTGACTACTGGGTGTCTAATACTACCACACAAACTCAATCACTGCACCCTAAGAACCTCCGAGATGGGGTACTGCTGCTGCACTTGAATACCTAAATAGCTTTGTTGATTAAAGGGATGGCCAGGTGATGTTACTTTTTTTAAAGCTATTCAGGCAGTCAATATGTCAGAAGCAGTACATAGTGGGTGAACAAAGTGCTGGCCGCTTGCACTTTGTCCAGAAATTGTCAGTCAGGTATGGAAATTATGTCATAATCAGATCCAATGTAAAACATTAGAGCAATGCTTACAGGAGGGTAATTGCAAACATCACCAATGCCTTACATTGCTGATTCAACATAAATATTTGTGCACGTATGAAATGCTGTGCACAGTATCATGTCTTAGGTGTAGGTAATCTTCAACAGGGAGCTTCTCTACCTGTTGAGGCATTCTTAGACATCAACAATGAGTTGAGGCACTAAAGTTTGTTAAATGTTGAGCGGGGTAGTCGCTTGCTAGGAAACTTTCCCCTGCCAACTGTTAGTTCCCAAAGTTACGTTTCAAAATGTCATAAAATAAACGGTACAAAACTTCATAACCGTTAACTTCGGCTATATACAGTATGTACATGTCAGTGAAAAAAGTGTTCTAAATTCTTAGGTCAATAATGACTATAAGTCATAATGTATAGCTCTGGACTTTGTCTCGTTCAGGTAGGTAAAAAAATATTTTTCTTTTTATATTTACATATCAGATATTTCAGTCCATATATGAATCACTTGTAAAAATACAAGTGTAAATAATACAGATTAAGTTCTCTAAGGTGATCGGATATTTATATTCACAGTGGCAGAATCAGTACCAAATTCATTCCCTAAATTCAGAGTATACAGTCCACCATCGTTCTTCTGGACATCCATGATGATCAGGGTGGTTAGATCTTCACTGGTTTCAATGTGGAATCTGCCTTGCTGGTCTTGACTGGTAATTTTCCTCCCTTTGCAGTACCATGTTATTTCAGGAGCAGGTTCACCCGAAAAGGCACAGGATAGTGTGAGAACTTTTCCTTCATCGATGCTGATATCAGATGGGAGAGCTTCAATTTTGGGTGGTGCTCCTTTATGAAAAAGGAGAAGAAATACCAAGTTAGTCTGTTTTCACTAAGCCATGCAGCAGCTTTACTCTGAGGACTACTTCAGGATAGCCAAATAATCTACCAATAATTGTAATGCTCACCTCTCAGACCTGATTTAAGCATTKTACTAGTTGAACTCTCCAGTTGAGCCATGCTAGATTTCCCCATAATACTGCTGGAGCTCATCTCTACAAAGGATTCTTTCATGGAGGACATGCTTTTGGCAGACATGCTTTCAAATTTCATTTCAGTCATGCTGCTACTGCTGAAACTGCTGAATGAAGCYTCTTGTTTAGAAGAAGCCATTTGAAAGGACTGAGAAGAAAAACTTTCGTGCATGCTTGCGTCGCCACTGGTCTTCAATACTACCTCTTTCGGAGGTTCTTCAACTAGAGCTGAGGAGCATTGCAAACATAGAAGGAAAAAGCAACAACATCACATTAACGAACAAAGTCATGCAGTTCTGTACGGTTAATTTTACAAAAATTAAGACGGCATACTTTGCTTTCAATGGAAAACTGCAGTGGAGTATAGAATTGCTTACAGTCATTTGATTCAAGATATCCAAATCACAAGCTTTAAATAAGGAATTAAAAATAGGCAATGGAACTTACCAGTATGTATGAGCTTCAAGGAAAAGCATACATACTTAAGAAAAAACAGGTAATCACACAATGTTTCTTATTAGAACCATTACTAGAATTAGACATGAAGAAAATGTGTGTGTTCAGTTCATATTTGTAGGAGCTCTGAAACATTTTCAAGTTCTTACAAACAGAATAGTAAAATCTGTATTTCACTGCATTATTCTGTAGCTATGAAGGGCAACAGGAAAGCTCAATCACTGCAGCTTTGCTTTAAACCCAAACACAGTCATGCAAGCAAATCACAGCCACCCCTTGATGCTAGGAACTGGGATATGGTATCGCCAATAAAATACTAAACCCAGTTCAATTAAGTTGCCATAATAAATTTTAACTGTGGAATAACTTTGTTTTATTATAACAGATTCTGTTAGTATATGAGAAAAGAATAATTACCAGCATCAAGGTTTTAACATACTCAGAATGAATACTCAGAGCTTTCTCTTAAYATGCACTCATTGATGTAACAGAGCACCTCTTCTGCTTAAAAGATTTCTAATGCTATTTTAGGGCTGTATACGTAACATACAAAAGAAATATGAACTTCTTAAAATAACGAAGTCAATGTTACCAATGGTTTTTATTGTGAGTCATTTTAGTAGACACACCACAGCAAAATGTTGTGATTCCTCTGAACACAAGACCCAGAGAGCAAACTTACGGAGTACAGTCAAAGATGCTGTAGCAGAACACTGCCCATGGTAATTTTTTGCCTTGACTGTGTATTTTCCAGTGTCGCTCACTGCTGCACTTCGAATCTCAAGAGAATATGTATTTTTAGAGCGAGTTACTCTGAGGTGTGTTGAAATGGCAATCTAAGGAGGGAAAAAAATGGTTTCATTAAGATTGATTTTATGAATAATTCTAGTATTTCAAGTAAATATATTAAATGATTACTTACAGGTTGATTATTCTTTAACCACTCAACTTCAGGAGAAGGATCCCCAGAAACTTCACAGGTGAACAACACATCTTGTCCTTCATTGACGTTTTGAGACTTGGGCTGCACGATGAATGTTGGCTCACTGGAATGCTCTTTGGAAAGGGTCATAACATACTGGCACTTAATAATGCCCTCATCAGTTTTACCCTCACAGGTGAGTATACCTTCATCCTTATTAGTGGCTTTTTTGATAGTTAGTGTGTGATCACTKCCAGAAACACCGTATCTGTAATCATCTGAATTTCTCAGCTCCATTCCATTCAGCACCCATTTAACTTCAGAGGCACCGGGAATGTTGGCTTTCAATGTCACCTTCTGCCCTTCAGACACTGTCATTTTACTTGAAGAAGCTGTAATTTCTGCTTTCAATTGTTTGACATCTTCTGTGACAACTGACTTTTTAATGACTTCTTGAACTGCAGATTTCTCTTCAGTTGCCACTGCTGATTTCTTCTGAGTAGAAACTGTAAGCAACTCATCTTCTTTCTGAACTGTTTTATGAGATTCAGTTACAGCTCTTACCTGGGAATGAATATTTTTAAATACTTGGCCGGTAAACTGGAAATTAGTTTTTGAAACACCTCCTTCCCCAGTAATTTCACAGGTGTATTCTCCTTTATCAGATTCCATGAGCTCATGGATTTTGAGCTCATAAGTACCATCTGCTGCATAATGAAACTTGAAATGATGGTCTTCTTTCAGTTTTTTACCATCCTTATACCAAGCCACTTCTCTGACACTTAAAACATTGCTTTCAACTGCACAGGATAACTTTACCTTATCTCCATGAGTTTCTGCTTTCAGATGCTGTTTAATCTTTGGTGGAGAAGCAGTTGGTAATTGTACTTTATCTGCTGGTGCCATTTTGTCTGCAGGTGGTGACTTAGCTTTTGGGGGACTGCTGATGGGTTCAGGAGATTTCACTCGTTTAGGAGACTTAACTGGCTCTGGAGACTTTACATAAGGCTCAGGAGATTTGATCCTTGGAGGTGATGTAATGGTTTTTTCAGGAATTTTTGTTCTTTGAATGGTCAAAGTAAAATGTGCTTCCTGTCTTCCTTCAGAATTTTCCACCACAACAGTGTAACTTCCTTCATCTGATGTCTGGACTGAAGAAATTTCAAAGGTAGACTTGTACTGTGTTCGTGTTACTTGGAAGCGCCTTGAAGAAACAATAGGTTGACCTTCACGGAGCCATGTTATTGTTGGTGCGGGTTCACCATCAACATCACAGGAAAATCTTGCAGTCTCCCCTTCAGAAATTGTGATTGACCGTGGCTTTGTAAGAATTGTTGCTGGCAGAGTGCTTTTAAATGCTTTGTGTACAGTCCTTTCTTCCAATGATTTTTCTTCAGCTGCAGTGACTTTTTCTTCAGAAGCAGCATAGTGTGCATAGGATAAAAGTGATTCTCTCGTTGCTGACACTTCCGATTTGACCTCTCTTACTGAGGAGCTTGCTTCTGTTGCAGATGCTTTCTTAAATGAGGAGATTGCATATGCCTCTGTTTTTGTCAAGTCAGGTAAAATTGACCTTGGTACTTCTTCGTCTCTCCTCTGGGACGAGTATGTAGTGTAATCTCCTCCAGTAACATCTAGCGTTGCATAATCAGAGCATTCCCCTTTGTAGTTTGTGCATACTGCTCGGTATGTTCCACTGTCATCAATGTGGCAGTCGAGAATCTCCAGAGTTAATACACCACTGGTGTTGGTAAAGTGTATCTTACTGCTCTCTTGGAGCTCAATGCCATTGTGGTACCACTTCACTTCGGCAGTTGGCTTTGACTGGACGTTCAGAATGAACCTAGTGTTATGGCCACACGGTACCCGGTGTGAGCGCATTCTCAGGGTAATGCGAGGAGCATGGTCAAGGGTGAAAGGCTGCTGAGTCAGAACTTCGTATTTCCTTTCCATGGTCTTTTGAGTTTTCAGAGCAGATTTCATGGACTCATATCTAGAAAATATATCAAATCTTGCCATCCTCTCAAACCGGGAGAGAGATCTTTCACTTGAAACTGGGCTAGGTGAGCGTGGTCGAGTTCTCTCTGGTGTTGGGGATCTTCTCTCACTTTCTTCAGGAGGCCGTGAGCGAGGCCGAATTAATTCAGATACAGGACGCATCAACTCAATGTAAGTTGGAGAAAGGGATCTTCTTCTCCGTAGTAATCTAGAGGGAGGTGAAAATTCCCTCTGAGCATATTGCACCATTTCTATTTCTTCTTCTTCTTCTGATGTGATCTCAGTTATTTCTCTTTCCCTCCTTCTCCTGAGTCGACTCTTTTCTTCCTCTGCCATATATTTGAGCTCACTCCTGTATCCAGAGAGTCGTTGATCAGTGCCAACAGGTCGGAGCAATTCTTCATCCTCCCTCTCATCCATTATTCTTTGCTTTTGTTTAGGTGGTCTGTAGGCAGCCCTGTCATGACGTTGACGAAGCTCTGCATAGCTTGCACTGGTCTCAGCTTTAGTTGGGATGTGATAGCTTGAATACCTCAGCTCTCTCTTTCTTTCTTCCTCTGAACTGACCTGTGCTGCTGCAGTAGAATACTGAAGGGCAGACAGTTCAAAACGTGGTGGGCTTCTGCTTGGTGGGGAAGCAGAAAAGCCCAACTCCAGCTCTTCCTCAAGGCGCAGTCTTTCCTCTTCGGTTCTCTTCATGGCTAAATAGTCATCTATAGGCATGAGCAGCTCCTCATCAGACAAGTCGCCTAGCGATCGCCTTCTTGGTCTATAGTAGTATTCATACTCTGGAGATGGGGTACGCCGGCGTGCTGGCCTCACAATTTCAAGATCATCTTGTGTCAGCTTTGGTATACGCCATTTAGGCTTGTACTGATCAGAAATGCGTGGCAGTGGCATCACATAGAATTGCTCCCACCTGGAAAGACGTATGCGTTTCTGGCGTTTCTGAACAGTCCTCTCAAGTTTCCCTGGCATTTCATACTGGTCTCGCAGCTTCTTGTACCACTTCATGTCTGACAGAGGCACAAAGTATTTAATATTCTGATCTTCCTCAAGAGCGGCACGCACATGTTTGCGAGGCTCTGGGATCTCATATGGCATACGAAGTCGTCTTTCCTCYTTGTCCTTCTTTTCTTCTTTCTCAATTTCATATTCACCTTTGACGGTCTTTGAGCTAACGGCTGGTTTATATAAAATAGCAGCTTCTCTGAGAGCCTCTTGTGCAGTTTGTGTCAGTGGAACAGCTTCAACACCAGAAAGGATTTCTGCCATTCGTAAGGTCTTGTCAATTTGCCTTTGTACATGCTTCTCCCGCTCTTCTTTTGTCTTGTACTCACGCTTGACATATTTCAAGCGTTCAACTTTTAGATAAGCCTGACAGCTTGTAGATCCAGCACTGTTTGTAGCAGTAACTCTGTAATAGCCACTGTCTTCTGGTAAAGTATCTCTGATATGCAAAGCATAATAGTCTAAACCTTCATGAATTATATCAAAGTTGGGACCAAAGGATAGAGGTTGACCATCCTTCTCCCATGCCAGTGTTGGTTTTGGCACACCAGATACTCTGATCTCAAAACTGACACTTTGGCCTTCTTGGCATTCAGCATTTGCCAGCAGTCTTTTAAACATTGGCCTGAGCGTGGCATCTGCTGGAGGTGGATGTGGAATCACAGTCAGCTTAGCTTTGCAGCTGTCTTCACCATATTTATTGCGTGCCACAATACTGTAYTCAGCATCATCTTCTTCAGTGACATTATTGATGACAAGTTGATAAAGACCCTTGTCTGATTCAAAAGTATACTTCTTATCATCATCCCCAGGTTTGATCTTCTGGCCTGATTTGTACCATGTTAAGCGAGGTTCTGGGTGAACTGTTATAGTTACTCCAAACCTGACATTTTCTCCAACATATGCAGTGCGGTTATACAAAGGCAGGGTGAATTCTGGGGGATGCTCTAGTAGTCTCATAGTGTCAACCCGTCGTTTCACTTTTCTAACAGTTCTGCATCTGTAGTGCTCAGAAATTTCTCTCACACCTTTAACAAAAAGTTCTGCATAAGAGCTGTCTTCACCATAGTCATTTACTACCTTGCATCTGTAGGTACCATCATCTGATTTAGAAACATCTTTGACATACATGGTTGCCACACCATCTTCATATTTGATTTCATATTTTTCATTGTTTTCTAATTGCCTCATACCAAAGTACCATGTGACTTGTGTGGATTCATCATAGTTTTCAATTGTACATACATATTTGGCGTGCCCGCCTTCTTCTGCAACTTTATGATTTATCTGCCCAGCAATAGGCCCAATGTCTATTGGGGCAACTTTAACTTTAGCCACCGTTATGCCTTTCTGGGATCTAATTGCACCTCCAGAGGAAATGCGGGCTACTGACACAACTGTGTTCCACTCCTTCTTTACTAGAGTTTGATAGTAACGCCTGTGTCTCAAGGTCTTAATCGTTTTGGTGCTGGTCTTTTCTGTCTGCTGTTTCAGCCACACATGATTAAGTGCTTCAGCAGCCGTCATCCGAGATTTTCTTTCTTTTACTAGAAGGCGATCGATGAARTCCATGGCCTCAATGCTTATATCTTTGAATGCTTCATCCTCGAAGCTGTATTCAGCATTTAAAATATTTTCAATAACTTGTTGGTTTGTTTCAGCAATGAAAGGGTTAAGGCCACTGAGAAGTATGTATGTTAGAGCACCAACTGACCACATGTCAGTAGCTGTGCTGACCAAATCATGGTGATGTACTTCAGGTGCATAATATTCAGGAGAAGTGAACTGGAGTCTAAAGCTATCTCCAGGCTTCAGCTGTCTGGCTTGACCAAATTCAACAATTTTTATTAGAGAGCTTCTTCTTGTGAAGTAAATAATATTGTCTGGTTTAATATCAAAATGTCCAATGCTACGACTATGTAAAAATTCTAGTGCATCACAGACCTGGCGTATGTAAYTTACTATTTCTCTTTCATTAAGTTCAAATGAAGGTGTGCTAATTCTTTCAAAGATGTCAACTCCAGAAATGAATTCAAAGATCATGACCAATTCTTCTAAGCTCTCAAATGATTCATGAAGATACAGGATATTTTGGTGCCTAGCAATGTTCAGGATGGAAATTTCTTTCTTTACCAAAACTTGGTCAGCACCCTTTACTTTGACAAACTTGGCCAGGTAAGTCTTTTTCGAAACAGCCTCAACACAGCGGTGTGCGATGCCAAATTGCCCACGTCCAAGTTCTTCTGCAATCATATATTTGTCGTAGAGTTCCTTTGTCTTATAGTGACCTGCTTTAGCTGCTGTAACTTCTCTGGTTTCATCAACTTCTTCATCGTAGTTCATTACTCTGGTCTTATCTTCCTTTGTTACAACTGGATCAGTAGGTTCAGAAGGCTGACTTTGGCCAAACTTGTTCTCTGCAATTACACGGAACTGGTAGGTGGTCTTGCCAAATAGGTTCACCACAGTGTATCGTGTGTCACGAGCTTGTGCGACGCGAATCCATCGCTCTGCTGTTGTAGCACGTTTCTCAATAATGTAGTTTATGATCCTGCTTCCACCATCAGTAGCTGGTTCACTCCAGGTTAAGTTGACTGAATCCCTTGAAACGTCAGTTACCTTCAGACCTCTTGGTGGATCAGGCACATCGGCCACATCTAATTCAACTGTTTTTTGATCAATTCCAAATCTGTTTTTGGCACAAACAATGTAAAATCCTGCGTCTTTTCTGTCAACACCATTTGGGAAAACAAGAGACGTGAATGATCGTGTAACAATTACTTGGTAGTGTCCATTAGTATCGATGAGATCTTGTCCCTTCTGCCATGTGATCACAGGGGGAGGCTTGCCACTGAATGGAATCTTGATGCTCACCACTTCCCCTCGGAGGGCATGAACAGCTCCCATGCCTTCCAGGTTTTTGGGCAAATGAATCTTTGCAGGAACTGGAATAGAAAGAGGAAGAAAAAACACATGAAGCCAAAACCCACAAGAAGAGCATCTGTAGTCTAAATATTCAAAATTAAAACGTATTTGTCTTGGTTATCAAGACCCTTTATTCACCTTCAACATCCAGAGAGGCAGAGCAAGACACAGATCCTCCTTGGTTGGTAGCTCTAACTTGATATACTGTGGCATCATCATCTGTCACATTTGTGATGATCAGCTGGTAATATCCACCCTTGAACTCCTGTATCTTGATCTTTTCCCCATCTGGCATGATTTCTTTGCCCTGTCTGTACCACTTGACAATTGGCTTAGGATGACCGGTGACTTTGCAGACAAATGTGGCATTAGCTTGAAATTTCACATTCAGATTCCTTAGTTCTTCCTTGAAATGTGGAGCTTTAACTGGTACATCAGATTTTGGAATGACTGGTTGGGATACCTCACTCCACTCACTTTCACCACCAAGATTTTCACATTTGACACGGAACTCATATTCAAGACCTTCAATAAGGTCTTTCACAGAGTAGACTGTTTCACGAATTTCATCTGTTGTTACAGAAATCCACTTGTTTTGTTTTTTCTCACGCTTCTCGAGATAGTAAGTTCTAATCTTTGCACCGCCATCGCTTGCAGGTGGCTTCCATGAGACAACACAAGAATCCTTTGTGACAGCACTTGCTACTGGCTGGCCGGGTTGTCCTGGTTTTTCTGTAAGAACAAAGAAGTTCAAAAACTGAAGTAAGTTTGCCTTACTAATTAATTACAGGGCGTGCTGGTTTTGGCTGGGGCAAAGTTAACTTTCTTTGTAATGGCTGCTATAGGGCTGTGTTTTGGATTTGTGCTGAACACAGGGTTGATAACACAGAGATGTTTTTGTTACTGCTGAGCAAGGCTTACACAGAGCCAAGGCCTTTTCTGCTTTTTGTACTGACACACTGGTGAGAAGACTTGGGGTGCATGGGGGGCTTGGAGGAAACACAGCCAGGACAGGTGACCCAAACTGACCAGAGGAACATTCCAGATCATRTGACACCATGCTGAGTATATAAAACGGGAGAAGGTGGGACATTTGGAGTGATGGCATCTGTCTTCCCAAGCCACTSTTAGGTGTGATGGGCCCCTGCTCTCCTGGAGGTGGCTGAGCACCTGTCTGYCCATGGGAAGAAGCGAATGAATTCCTTGTTTGGCTTTGCTGGTGTGCACAGCTTTTGGTTTTCCTGTTGAACTGCCGGTATCTCAATCCAAGAGTTTTCCAGCTTTTACCCTTCTGATTCTCTCCCCGATCCCACTGAGGGGGAGTGAGCAAACGGCTCATGGGGTTTGGCTGCTGGCTGGGGTTAAACAAAAACATGGTGGCATGCAGACATTGATATTTTGGCCTCTACTTACCAAACGGAGGCTTCATAAAAACTACTGATGAAACCTCCAGTGCTTCACTAATGCCGTATATATTCTGAGCAGAGACACGGAAATAATAGCCTGCRTTTTCAGTTAGGTTAACAATTCTACAGGTTGTGCCTGAAATACTTGAAGACACAAGCTGCCATTCTGCTCCTTCTTTGGCTTCACGTTTCTCTATGATGTAATTGGTTATCATAACACCTCCATCATCCTCTGGTGGTTTCCAGCTTATCACCACAGAATTCTTCAGTATAGACTCTATAACAATTGGTCCTACTGGTTTATCTGGTTTATCTGTACAAGAAAAAGCATAAAATGTTCATTTATTTTTCCAGTCAATATTTGAGAAAATATTCCACAAAAATACTGAAAATAAAATTAATTACCTTGTATTTCCACATTAAGGACAGTGTCAACTGTTCCAAATGTGTTACTGAGTTGTACTTTGTACTTCCCAGCATGAGTCTTGTGCTGGACATTCTTAATAGCAAGGTGAGTGTACTGCTCTGTGTTCTCAATAGTTATTGTTTCTGATCCTCTCAAAGGTTTGTTGCCATGGAACCAAGTTATTGCTGGTACTGGCCGGCCAATGTACACAACGTGAAGGCGGAGGGTGCCACCTGTACCTGCGTAGTATTTCTCTTTCAATGGGAAGCCAGGGTGGAACTGAGGAGGAGCCTGCAATAATAGCTTGCCACTAGTTTCAATTTCTCCGACATCGTTGGTAGCCATGCAAGTGTAGAGACCTTCATCCTCCTGTTCATCCGTCATTACTGTCAGAGTGTGGTTGCGTCCGTCAGATGACATTTTGTATTTTCTGCTTTGTACCAGCTCTTTGCCGAAGCGGTACCATTTAATATCAGGCAAAGGTCTCCCGACAATCTGGCATGTTAGCTGAGCTGCCTCACCCAGTTTAGTTGTAACATCCTGCATTTCCTTCTTTATGGCAGGTGCTTCTCCAGCTACAACAAAGAAAATAAAGAAAATAATGATGATTACTATGAAATTTTCCTCTGTTACTGTATTACTGGAAATTAATTTTCATTTATACTTGTTCCTCTTATACTTGGAAGACTGTCCTTTGGGACAAGCATGTTAGCAAATATGTAAAACAAATAGGCAGCATGTTCAGTGCAGCACCATGGTTTATGACACAGCAAATGACAACAATGTCACAGCAAACGTGACAAGAAATTTTTGCTTACATGTTAATTTAGTTTTCACTGCCATAGCAGTTCTTCGAGGTCTGCTGAGGCCTGTCTGATTTTCTGCAAAAACACGGAACTCATATTCTGTGGCCTCTAGTAAGCCTCCTACTGTAAACTGCCTGTCCTTAATGAGTTCCTTATTGCATTTTTTCCATGTGCTTTCTCCAGACTGGCGATATTCAACCCAATAGCCAAGGATCTCTTTGCCACCATCACTTTCAGGTCGTTCCCATTCTAAAGTAATGCTGTCCTTAAATATAGAAGTGATCTCAATTTCTCCAGGTTGGCTGGGTTTGTCTGAAAATGAAAATAGATACAGAAAATCATATTTTCTCTAAACGTCATTAAGTTGCTCTCCAGAAGATCTGTTAGTGCAGACATTTTCTTACCGAATGGATCCTTGCATACAACTGGTTCAGAAGCAGGACTTGCTTCACTTTCACCAATGTCATTTTGAGCAATGATGCGGAATTGATATTCAGCATCTGGAACAAGTCCTGTGACTGTGTACATTGTAGTGGTAATCTGTGTCTTATTATGCCGGACCCATTTTTCTGTAGATGTCTCTTTACGTTCAATGTAGTAGCCAGTTACACGAGAACCACCATCATCTTTAGGTCTGGACCAGGACAAGTTGACGGAACTCTTTGTAACATCAAGCACTTCAGGTGGGTTGTTTGGAGGCTCTGGAGCATCTGTTAATAATTATAAAAATAATAGAAATAATAGAAATGGAATTAAAATTTCTGCATACATTATTGCACTTTTGGATCATAAAGTAGTAACTAATCTTTTTTTTTATCTAAAAGAAAACTTACTTAGAGGTGTCTTTGGTACTGCTGGTTCTTCAGATTTGAGAGATTTGCTAATACCAAAATGGTTTTCAGCAGAAACACGGAAGTGATATTCCACATTTTCTTTGAGCCCTTTCACCACTAGTGATGTCCCTTTCACTCTAGAGTCAACAGTGTACCAGGCAGTCTTCGGTACTTCTCTTCTCTCAATGATATAACCCAGGATATCTGCACCACCATCATCTGTAGGAGGTCTCCAGCTTACTCTGACAGAACGAGCCTGTATGTCATCGTACTCAAGTGGTCCTTCTGGTGGATTTGGAATGCCAATTACTCTGACTTTAATATACACAGCTTTCTTGCCGCATTTGTTTTCAAGTACCAAATCATAGGTGCCTGAATCTTCTCTTTCTGCATCTTTGATCACAAGTTCTGTGTGAGTCTCAGATGTCGCAATCATGGCCCTCCTGCTGATGTCCTGTCCTTCTTTTGTCCATTTGCATACTGGGATGGGCTTACCCTTAATGGGTATTGTAAGCCTGATTACTCCCCCTTGTCTCACCATGAGACCTTCTTGGTATTTTTCTTCAAGTTCATAGTCAGGATATTCTGTAAACAAAATTAACATGTCATGCTATATCCTTCTATAGATGATATCATACCTGCTTTAGGCAAAATTTTTCTTTAGGACAGCTTTCGAGAGCTAAGACTTGAAATGTCTTACCAAGCATTTCTGTTATTTTGACTGTTCCTGGCACTTCAGCAGGTTCTCCTGGCCCACCAGCATTACAGGCTAGCACACGGAATCTGTACTCTGCACCCTGGGGAAGGTGCGTCAAGGTGTATTCACGAATCTTGGTCGGCGTAGTATTGCATTTGGTCCATTCAAATTGATCAACCTTCTGCATCTCAATTAAGTAACCAGTAACTTTAGAACCCCCTTCATCTTCTGGTGGACTCCAAGCCAGGGAGACTGATGTTCTTGTAGTATCAGTGACTCTTGGATTCTGAGGTTTACCTGGAGGAGCTGGAAGAGAAGATCAAATAGGGAGTTGCGATTTGTTTTTATGAATATTTGAAGGATGAAACAAATGCCAACTTGCAATTTATGATCTGCAATAAGTCTATAATGAATTTATACAGGGAAACTTCAAATGAAACATTTTCACTAATGTATTCTTCATTTTCTCCAGTCAGAATCTCATTTGTTAATACATCTAGATAAATTTTCAAATTAGAAAAGAGTAGATTTTACTAGTGCCATTCCCTTCTACCATCATTAACCTATGTTTAACCTATGTAGGAAATCACTTACCAATTGGATCTCTGGCAACAGCAGACTTGGAAGGACGGCTGGGTTTCCCAGTGCCTCTGGCATTGATTGCTGTGACCCGGTGTTCATATTCTAATCCTTCCACCAACCCAGTGGAACGGTAACGAGTCATGGTGACTGGAACTTTATTTACACGGATCCATCTATCTGCTCTAACTTCTTTGCGTTCCACAATATAACCAGTAATCTGTGAGTCACCATCATCATCTGGAGGGAACCATGTCAATGTCATGCCATCTCGAGAGATATCAAACACTTCTGGAGTGCCAGGAGGACCAGGAATACCTGTAAAAAGATGACATAGAATTAGTGAAAAAAGCATCAAATGACTTTACACATTAGTAGTATGTGACAAACGCTGAATAACAATCTAATATCAAATTCTTTTTAATTAGCATGTATCTAAGTACTTTCTAAATCAGGTCAGTGAAAAAATTCCGGTTTTGTAATGGGGTAAAGCAATTATTCAAGACTAATGGTAGACCTGAACAGAAAATCCAAGTTTACCATCCACATTCTGAGCAGTACATTTGTAATACCTATACAGATTCATGGATGGCATTTTTCATTGGAAAATAACAAGATTACTGTGCATCATAATGTTCAATTTTACCTGGCAAAAGTAAGTAGCAACATCTAGAAAAATCTAGTATATGTGTGAATTATAAATCCATTTAAAGATATATTTTTAATTTTAAAGGTAGAGAATGAACAAAAATTCAAACTTACGGATTCTGCTCTTGCATTCTATAATTTCAGATTGCAGGTAAGATCCGATTCCAAAGCGGTTTGTAGCAGCGACACGGAACACGTATTCTGCACCTTCAACAAGCCTGGTGAACTTAAATGTTGTCCTGGTTACTGACTCTGAAACTGGCAGCCATCCAGGACGGTGAGCATCTCGCTGTTCTACCACATAGCCACTAAGGGCAGCTCCACCATCCAGCTCAGGTGGCTC